AAAAAAAATCACATGGTTTCGCTTTAAATATTTAACAAGTGGCTGAAAATTTGATGATAGCACTTCAAATATGCATCCGACAGAGCGGAACAGCCTGTAACTTTCAGTCAGGTGTCTCCCATATGCTTGAAAGCTGTGAGTCATAGATGTGTGACCGGGTGTCAGAGCTTTTTCTTGTGTGATTGCTTGGTCCTGGAAGAACAGAATTCTCCTCAGCAGCTACTTAATTCTAATGAGGGTTTTATGACTCGTGATCAAGAGCTCACTGGCAACGCATTCAGTCAATAGTGCCTTCTCTTTTGAGCACAGCCTCGGCTTATGTACCGGCCCCAGCAAATTGACCCAGAGATTTATACAGCTATTTTCTAAAGGTCTCCATTCATGGGCCCACAGTCAGGAAGGGGAATTAGTGTTTCAATGGATTTCACTTTCAATTTGAATGCCGAGTGGTTGGAACATGGTCCCGGCTAACGGGAGGCCATTGCTAAAGAACTCTTTTGTGTTCTGCTACTCAGAGGCTCAAACCCTCGGGGCTGTGAATACATTCACCACAAGAGACACCGTTTCTACTGCCATAGGTTGTGAATCCTGTGGGTTTATCTATCCTTTAGTGAAACCAACACATTGAGGATGCCCTTTAAACTACCATTAGTCAGCTTCCTTTTTCCTTTCAGATGAATGTGCACACAACAAACCTCCAGGACAGAAGTTTCTACTGTCCAGGTATGATAACAACAATAATAAAATTTGCTACTAAAGCTGCTTTAACATGTCAACTGCTATACTGTCCACATGTAGCACACAATCTATATGTGCTTGTGTATTGGAATACATGAAATAATACTTTTGTTTGAGGCCTGGGTGCTGTCTAATAGTGTAGAAGACCACTCGATAGACATGACTTCACCAGACTATTACACTTAGCTATTAGCTACTACTTTAGCCAGTCCAATGTGATGGTTTTGAACATTTGGATTCTCACTTACCAGATAAAAGCTAGATAATATCTAGAAATGTTCAGAGTCACAGCATGTGTGACAACAGCTTTTAATGTTGCAGTGAAACACTAAGCACTCTCTTGAACTGAAGTCTGACGTCATTAGCCGTTTCCGGGTCCAAACTCCACTTCAGGTCCCAAAGTCAAACGATTACTGCAGCATCACACAGTTAAAAACTGTCTAAATTCTTTTTTTCTTTAACGAAAAGATCGGTGTGGCTGCCCTACCAGGTGTAACAGTTAAGTTTAACATCCAGGCATCCATGAAAACAGAATGTATTCAATTTAACGGAGTTAGCAGTTAGCAGGAAGTTAGCCCGCTAGTTTCCATCTAAAGATGATATACCATGTTCTGACTGAAGGATTTCTGAAGAAATTAAAACGTACAGCTCTGCTATCACTTCCAACATAAATGAAGACAGGAAACTAAAGAGCAGTGACTTTTGTAGGGTTACTGAAGTTGGGCTAGCTGGTATATAATGATGTGCTACATGGTGGCTAGCTATATGGTTAGCATGATATAAACACAGGAGGATGAACGCTAACTATTTCCCACTTGAGAAAAGCTAATGTGAGGGTTCCCGATGGTTAAGGACAAATGCAATCGCATGCCAGGATGCTGTAAACGGAGCAAACTTCAGTCAGGAGAACAACTGAGATAATCCATCCACAATAGAGGTTAGTCATTCATATACTGCTGCATGGGCTGGGCTGTAGTTACACCGCAAGGTTTTAAAAACTGAGCTTTAAAATGAATAGTGGTACTAAAAACCGAGAGGCCGACAGTGATCACTGCTCTTTGTTAGAGGGTGTTCAGATTAAATAGAACAAGATAAAAAGCATTAAAACATATAAAACACAACTGCCTTAATAAACGCAGAGTAGTTTGGACCCGGAAGCAGGGTTCATACGTCATCACTTAAAGACCAGATATTAACACGCATTAGTTATTTTTAGCACTTAATGTAAGTATGCAACTGAATGCTATTTACTATTACACAAACATTGGGAGGTTAAAAAAAGTAAGACTAAAAACTTTGACCTAGTGTTCTAGCAGAAAGTTCTGTGTGTCAACACTTGCTTATAGTCTTTCAACAAAACAATATTTGACTATGCAGTCAAATGAAAACACTTCTGAAAGCTTGTTTGAGTTCAAGATACCAAGACAGTGAAGACTGAAACACTCAAGTCTTCAAAATGGGTTTACAGAAATCAGAAGGTAATGTCACATCTTACAGTCTTGCCTCATTTCTTTATATTTTGCTTCTAAGCAGCCAGACTTCCCTGTAATTTTGCACAACTTTGTTGAGCAGTAGTTCTCCAGGCTTTCAGAAGGTTTGCTTAAGTTTTTAAGTGGACATGTGGCTGCTTTTTCTCAGATTTTCTCTCCAAAATAACAATTTGTTCCCATTCGTATAGTTAAATCCATGAAAAATCTCAAGGATAACAAGACAGGCATAAAACTTTATTTTTGCACCAAAAAGGGAATTCCCAAAGAGCTATTAGCTGCAAACTTGACAAATCTCAGCATGGTGTGCAGTGTGTCTTTAAAAAAAAAAGACAAAACTGAACAAGTGGAGGAGAAAAGATGAAGAAGATAACCTAAAAACCCATCTACAGCAGATGATCAGTATCTGAAAGTCATGTCTGTAAGAAATGGGAAAAGCAAAGACTTGACACGGACCTTTGATATACAGCAGATTGAATATTCATTGTTGTGATTTATTCATGCTGATAAATGACTGTCTAAAGGTAAATAAACAATCCTTATGGAAAAAAAGATTTCAGAGTTTAGGAAATTATTTCGTTCTTCATCTATTTTAAGGGATTCTTTATTTTTACAACAAACACTGTCTTATTGATGCATTTTAACTCAAATCAGCTCATTATTGATTTTCCCACCAAAAGTTGAAATGTTCCATGACAAATTGGATGATACAGTTCATTCCATTCATTTTGTGTTAAATTTCTTATCCAGTTTAACATTATAGTCAAAGGGCAGCAGCCACAAACAGACAGCAGTGGCAGAAAAGTGATAATCCTGCGGTGACCTTATCTCCTGCTGACATCCACAACCCAGGGCAGGCGGTGGTTGGATGGGTGACATTATAACTCAGCACTACCCCTCAGCCAACTCTTACAAGTTCTCCAGTTCATTTATTAGCAGTCTGACAGTTTAGTGTCACAGTGTGGCTCTCTGGAGAAGATGTAAGCTGTCACAGTTCAGAGAATCATGGCCAGCCATCCAACAATCATAGCTACGCCCCCCACGGGAGCCGCTTTGCGCAGTCCGGGGTCCCCTGTCAGAGCCTGGTGGTATAAAGAGCCACAGAACATCCCCATGCCCGCAATCAGAAGGCTACCAGCCTGTGAAAAAGAAACATTTTGGTCTCAGTCAGTTTAAATCTGTAAGTTTGCAAACACATTGTAGTAGGGCTGCCATATACTCTCCAACCTCTCTTGCTTGAGACTCGCCCAAAAGCCTTTTGCTCCAAAGATGTTACCCCACAGGGACCAGCAAAAAGGAGTTGTTTGTTTGTTTGTTTTGCAAGAAAAGTTAAAAGCATTAAAAGCAAACCATTATTTAGAGTCAGCCTTCTTAAATTATACTTATATTATAATATCATCCCATAATATAATTAAATAATATCAGCCTACTTAAAAATTGATGCATCTTATTAGCCTTGCATTGTTAGCTAATATAGCTAATTATCTTATTAGTATAATAGAGTATGCTATTATTAGCTCACTCCACTATTCAGTTAGCCAGTGCATGCTATTATCCCACAAATATGCTATTGGCTAACATAATTTAATAGTTTATGTTACATCAGCTAATTTATAATATTAGCATGCTTCTTTTCATAATAAAACATATTAGCCAGCACATCTTTTTAGCTTGACAGTAAGTTTGCTAATTTATCTCAATAGCCTACCATTAAATTAAACAATGTACCTTATTATCCTATTGATTCATATTATTAGCAAACATAACTTATTAGCCTACTACAGTACGTCATTTCCTAACATAATTTATTAGCCCATCATTCAGTTAGCTAATGTAGCGTATTAGCTTACTATCACATTACACACATTAAAGTATCTTATCAGCAGAATAACGCATGTTATTGAGTATCATTACTTATGATTAATGAGTCATTTTATCTCATTAGCTTAATATTTATGCCCATTTTGACACACAACACAACTCGAGTGAGCAGGTTTAGTAACTTTATAGATGGACACCTTAAACAGGTGTAAACAATAGAAACTCTTGCTCACTGTATCGGACTGACTCCAAAGCTGGATCATAGATTTTATTTAATCCAAATTAATAACTCCACAGTTTTTAACCCATTTATTGTCAACTCATAATAACAACATTATCAGACATGAGACGCAGAGGGATATGCATGAATGCTTAAAAGTACAGATGATGGGGTGGTGACATTTAAGTGAGGAGATTCTTTGGCTACCATTTTTTCTTTCCTGGTTCCATTTGTTGGGATAATGTGTTCTTTCACCGTCAATCCACAACAAATTTATACTTATGCTGTCACTTTTATCATTTATAATGTAATAAAACAACAGTCTCTGTAACATAATATCTCTGAGTGAGGATGGACAGGTAACAGCAAATACGACTGTGGCACTATATCCACTTTAAAGGATTGAGCTAAGTGCATCCAGCCAAGAGTGAGGGTCTTAGGCTTCTGTACTTACCACAGCAGGTTTCCCACAGTGGGCAGCACCCAGCAAGGCCAGGCTGTGGTAGAAATGGTACTTGTTGGCGGTTTCAAAAAGCTGAAGAGGCACACACACAGAGAACTTTCAGAAAAAACTCCGCCTTTCCCAGCCACTCATCAAGTTCAGTGAATCAAACATTTTCTGGAAAGGCCTTTAATTATCAAGTGTAGAAGTGGATATTTAGTGAGCCGCTATCAAGCACCATTTACACCATTCTCATCAATCAGCCCAAGTTCGGCCAGGAAAGTATCTCATCATTAAAAACAAATCGTTTTCCTGTCTTTTTGCATTACAGAAGTTTCCTCCAGATTAACAGCACAGTGTGAAAATGTTTCACAGACATCTGTCAGTGCGCCCCAGGGTGGCTGTGGCTAAAATGTAGCTTGCCATCACCAGTGTGTGAATGTGTGCGTGAATGGGTGGATGACTGGATGTGTAAAGCGCTTTGGGGTCCTTAGGGACTAGTAAAGCGCTATATAAAATACAGGCTTTTAGATTTCTAAACTAAACTGGAGTTGCACCAATTGGGCAGATACACTGATGCTTAAAATACAAATTTGGCCAACAGTAGATGCTGCATTTTTTTTTAACCCATCTTTCTTTCTTATTTGAATTTGTTACCACTGACTACTTTTTGTGTACAGTACCTTTACGGGTATTTTGAGGTACTCCAGCTTTCTTCCACTTTCCAAAGACATTTTTATCTGGTTCTAGAATAGCTGTTCAGCTAAGACAGGCCCCAGCAGCCCCCTCCACAACAACCTAAGCTCGGTAAGAGGTATTTCAGATGTCACTTCACGTGCCTACATCAATGACAAAGTCACCATGAAGCCATATTTGGCCACCGTTTTAGTGCATCCCAAATTAAATCAGTCTTGAATCCATATGCTCTGACCTTGACCTCTGCTAACACGAATGAATGAAAACTGATTTTAGGCACACAAAATCCTCAAAAAAAAAGTATTATGAACATACCACTATTCGGTAGTCATCAGGATCGCTGTTCTTGAAACCTAAAACAAGAAAAACACAACTGTTACTTATTATCACACCATGAATATCATGATCACAGACACAACAGACCACACTTTATTTGGTTAATCAGTAACCCACACCCTCAAGTCATGTTCCTTACCAACCACTCCCTTATCCCATTTTAAACGTTAGCCAAACACTCAGCTATCCCTACCGTGGACAATGGTTGACCCACAAAAAGCCTTCTTCCACCCTGGAGGCGGGTCACCTTGATTACGACACTGGTTCTTTTTACAAAAACAACGTAAAGCTTCGACGGCCTACTGAAAGCCGAATTAATCGTTAGCCTGTTTAACATTAGCAGCATGTATGTGTTGTTGCTTTACAGTTACTCGGGCGTGTGGTGAGTACGCAAACTTTAAATCGGCGTGTTTTGATATCAAGGCTGGCGCCGTAAGCCTCAACATGACAGCCTTTCACCACTGTTCAGCTGAGCGAGAGCTACAGACAATAGGACAGTTGCGTACCGTGAGCCCCGTAAGCCCCAGCTCCCACTGCCGAGGCTCCTGACAGAGCTGCTAACCTCCGAACCACAGCAGAAGCGCTCATGTTTGGACTGTGACTGTCGGTTTCACGCGGGCGGAAGAAGTGACGGTGGTGCTGCGTTCACTGTCATTATGTACGTTCAGCCTTCTCAACTACGTGATTGCGGACATACGCAGTGTTGCCAACTTAGCGACTTTGTCGCTATATTTAGCGAGTTTTCAGACCCCCTAGCGAGTTTTTTTTCTAAAAAAAGTCGCTAAAAAAAGACGTGGAAGACATTACAAAAAACAATAATTGCTAAAAGAAATTTAATTTGTAGTTCTAAATAAATTCTAAATGCATTTAGGACGTTTTTTGCTCACTTTATGTCTCATCCACGATGTTATTTCTCTCTCCAGCAGCATAGGTTACAATTACGTTAGCATGACCAATTATGCAAATTAGGTGATGACGTCATTTAGCGACTTCTAGCGACTTTTAGGACAACCAATAGCGATTTTCCTTACTGAGGAGTTGGCAACACTGGACATACGTAGTTAAATGACGGACTGTGGGTTTCCCGCTCATGGGGCAAACAACAAACGATCAGACATTAAGAGAAGAAATGTTTTTTAATTGCATTATGATGCAGTGTAACCACAGTGTTACAGCTACATGTGTGTTGAAACAGATTTGTGTTCTAAAATAACTATAACATACATGCAAGATAAGTAGTCTAAAACGGAAAATATATTGTGCAAACCTGCAGTTATTCCAACTAATATGACACGTGACTTCGGAGTGAAGTCTCTGATATGCTGATGTGTGTTTATTTAATAAGCAATTTGTTCTCTGAATTCCAGCGTCTGAGTCCTTGAAAGCAGCAGTGGGGGCGTTCGTTTCAGGGCTCTGGGCTTCCAGGCACATCTGTTATCAGTTTGTGGACTTGAACCAAAATGGCCACTGCCGTGCTACAGTTTCAAGCCACTGGGCAAATTTCATTACTCTACCAAGCTGATCTGACACTGACATGGCATTTGAGCAGTCGTTTCAGCGCCTTTAGGTATTGCATGTGAATTTAAGTGCAGGGAATCACATACTGCCTGTAATATATTGACGCATTAACTGAAGCTTGAAGTTGACCTGACCGACCTCCCTTGTTAAAGTGGAATACAGAATCAGATTCAGTTTATGTTTTGCCCCGATTTGTTTAAGTCATCACCTCTGTTTTATTATTCAATAAAAATTTTAGTATTGTTCAGGATTTTATGAATAATTGATTTTAAGATAGTGGCTTATTTTGCCATTTTCCTCAGCATCACCAAAACAACACATTCCACTCAATGATGGGCTCGGGGAGCCGGAGGGTACATTAGTGTGTGGCACTTTTCAATTTGTCTGTCACTGCAACTTTGGGAAGAAGTGGTGAAGTTGTCTTTAGTGAGCTATTCCTAATGTTTGATGTATTTTCTTGCCAGCAGAGGAGTTGGAGACCAAGGTTGATGCCATGTCTTTGATGAAGATGCACTGATCCTGGTAGATCCTGCCAAAAGGGGGAGCTGTATTGCTTTCTCATCTGCCAAAATTTGTGGATAGGTAGCGTGTGTGGGTGTGAGTCTGTGCACACGGACGGGCAGGGGGACTTTGTCCAATTATCATTCTGAAATTACACAGGGTCACACTGCATTACTGGAGTCGCTAAACCACACTTTCCGTCGAGCCTCGTCCTTAGCTGACTTTGACACAGCATTAACACAATGCATACAATTAACACATTTTAATGACCATGTCGCTAATTAAAAATAAGCCTTATGAGTCGCAAGCATTCATCATCAACTGTGAACTGAACCCAGTGTGGGTGTGTTTGTGTGTGTCCTCTGTGGGTTTTAATCTAAGGCTGTCACCATCATCTGCCTGTGAACTTTTTCCCGTCTTTTTTGTCTTTTGGCATGATTTCTAGCGCTGCCTGCATATAGGGTTATATGCAGAGGAATGTTGTGCTTACCCTGCAAACACAGGTCATTTTCATTCTGGCCCACGGCAGATGGGATAGCAAGGACAACAATAAATTGTGGCTTTACATCTTGTTTTCACAGACAAGCAGCAAATTATCTCTAAGTCCCAGCAGCAGTGTGCTGTGAGGTTCCTCCAAGAGCCAACATCCATCTCACTTCAGCCTGCCTGCCTGTCTTCTTCTCTGCTCTCCAGTGACTGCTTTGCTCCTCGCCAATCCTCAGTGTGTGTTTGAGTCAAAGTGTGTGCATGTTTGCGTCTGATCTCTTCAGATTGCTTGCCCCTGGCCTGTCTTATTGTGATCGAGCTCCCCTCCAGGAAAACAAGCGGCTCTTGGAAGGGGAGGAGAATATTACTTTCTTTACATGTAGTAATGAAGTGAGAATGGAGAATGGAGACCGGGAGGCCGTTTTGCAACCCACACATGCACACAACATTATAAAATATGGCTGTTGCGCACTGGTTTTTGAATTCCCATTATGAAGCCTTGAGTGGAGTGCTTTTACTGTTGCTATGTTGGTGAAAATCCCTAAAAAGCCTTCAGTTGATCCAAAATGTTACCGTGAGAAAAGGACTAGAAAGAGAGATCACATTTTTCCCATACTGGCTTCTACTCATTGGCACCCTGTGATATCCACTTTTGAATTTAACTGAACACTACTGCTGTCATTACCTTTTTCCTACTCTCTCCCATAGTTTAATACTTTTGTCCTTGCCTCTATGCACTGCTTTTCTATATTCTTTTTACCCTCATCCCCCAAATGGTTGCAGAACATAGACTATATTGCCAAAAGTATTCACTCACACATTCAGATCATTGAATTCAGGTGTTCCAATCACTTCCATTGCCAAAGGTGTATAAAATCAAGCACCTAGGCATGCAGACTACTTCTACAAATGTTTGCAAATGAACTATAGGATGTCACCTGTGTAACAGGTGTGGACGGGACTGCAAATGACAACAACCCAGCCAAATCACAGAGCAGGGTCACCAAATGCCAACCCACACAATGTGCAGAGGTCGCCGCCTTTCTTTGGAGTCAGTCGCTACAGAACTCTTATTGCTTTGGCATACTAAAACATTTTGGACTCCAAACTTTGTGGGAATAGTTTGGGAATGGCCCTTTCCTCTTCCAACATGACTGCACACGAGGTCCATGAAGACATGGATGAGTGAGTTTGGTGTGGAAGAACTTGATTGGCATGTGCAGAGTCCTGACCTCAACCTGATAGAACACACTTGGGATGAATTAGAGTGGCGACTGCGGCAGGCCGTTTGGTCCAACACCAGTGTCTGATCTTACCAATGCGCTTCTGGAAAAATGGTCAGAAATTCCCAAAAACATACTCCTGAACCTTGTGGAAAGCCTTCCAGAAGAGGCGACGTTGTTATAGCTGCAAAGAGTGGGCCAACATCATTTTAAACCTTGTTGACTAAGAGTGGGATGTCACTCAACATCATAAGCATGTGAAGGAAAATGAGCAAATACATTTGGCAGTATAGTGTAGCTGTCCCTGCTTGAGATACGTTCGTTCAGACTCTGCTTGTTAAAAGACAGTTCTTTCTTCCCACTGTCACCAAGTGCTGTGGCTGACAGTCATACCACCCTGAGCGTGCCCACTCTCATCTGATCTCAGAAGCTTAACAGGGTCTGGCTTGATTAGTACTTGGGCGGCTGTAGCTCAGGAGTTAGAGCAGGTCATCTACTAATCTGAAGGCTGGTGGTTTGATGCTGCTTCAGTCTGCATGCCAGAGTATTCTTGGGCAAAATACTGAACCCTGAGTTGTTCTGCGATGCATCCGTCAGAGTGTGAATGTTAGATAGAAAGCATCTTGTATAAAGTGCTTTGAATGCTCAAGTAGAGTAGGAAAGCGCTCCATAAGAACTCATCCATTTACCATTATGAGACTGTCTGATTATTGGGGTTTTCCTTTTTAGCACTGTACCTTACAATATCACCTTCAGGTGACTGTTGATGTAGCAATGTAAACTGAAATCAATTAAAGTGGCTAACTGCTTCTCACTTGCTAATTTTATCAGAACCAAAGTCATCTTTTCAAAATGTTAATTGGCTAGTTTGCTAAATTGCCAGCTAACATGAGTCTAACAATTGCTTTTTTATAGTGGTAGCCAAATGGGAGTATTTAGCCAACTAGCTGAAGCATGCACATATGCCTGTATATGTACTGGAACTGGACAGTCTTATGTTTGTCTCATTACTCTTTTGGATGATGTTTGCAAGTAAAACAAAACACAAAAAACAGATAACAATAAGAATTATATTAACAAAGTTTTTCTGGGGTTACATAGAGCTCGTTTGGAAAGAAAAAACAGTGTATATACAGCAGAAATTTCATTTTCCCTCCAACTTAAAGCACTGCCTTGGGTTGTTTTGTAAATCCAATTTCCTTGTTAGCTGTATAGTTAGGTACGTCTGTTGGTGATGCATCTTTGTTCTCAAAAGAATTTAAGTGTAAGACAAACAAAGTGGGAACAGGCTGTCTCATCAACATACAAATAAGGATTCCACTTTGTTTTTCTTCTGCAGGTAACAAGACAGATGGAAGTGCCTCAGCAAGACCCCAAAGACGTCATTATTTCAAGATATAACCTACACTCTGAGTGACGCTTTCAGAAATGAAGACTTTGCTTTGTTACACTGTTGGAAGTGTTATCAATTTACTCACTTTTGCACTCTGATTTTTTCTTGTAGCAAAAGTAAAAGTAAAATGGGAAAACATTAAAATACAGACTTCCAAAGTTCGTGGGTCAAGAGTTGGGAGTTCGCCTTGTAATCGGAAGGTTTCCGGTTCGAGCCCGGCTTGGACAGTCTTGGTCATTGTGTCCTTGGGCAAGACACTTCACCTGTTGCCTACTGGTGGTGGTGGCACCACTGGATGTGTAAAGCGCTATACAAATACAGGCCATTTTACCATTTACATGCTCGCTATCCACATTGGCTCAACATAGCCGGATATTTTTCTAGATCTTTTGTTTTTTTTACTTTGAATGTAGAGTCCTTCAGGTGGGACAAAACACTTGGCAGGTTGTGTGTGTCAAGCGCAACAAATTTATCAGTGTCACTGTTTTTATCTCTTATCTTGTTATGTTTCCTGTCA